TAAAAAAACAATGTATCAGAACAACCAAAAAGAGTTTTTGTATATCAGCGTGTGGAGTACTATGGAAGGATTTAAATGACGAGCTCAAACAAAGTACAAATATAAGCTGGCTTAAAAAACAGTATAAAAATGAGCTTATTAAAAAATATTTAGCATAGGATGGGAGTTTCAAAGACCAAAAATGCTATTGCTGATATTAATGTGTAAATAATTGTACATTCAACGATGAGAATGTGAGGTTTAAGCATCATTTAATGTGTGAGTATTATCAGGGTTATTTGGTGTGGGGAGACTAAATGATTGTATATTGCTGTGTATGACGGGGCAGGAAATCATAAGATTGTTTTCTTCTACCTGCTCCTTTTCAAACAAATTGTGTAAAATTGCATGTTAATTGGCATGACTGTTGTGTTTTTTCTCTTTCTTTGTTTTTACTTTTTATTGTCATTCGAAATAAAAATAAAATAAAATAAAATAATCGTAGATTATTCCAAGAATTTGGAGTTCGAACAGAAAATGACAAGTTACTGAAAGACCTTTTTGAAACGGTATTTTCCAGTCTCCCCTATAACTGCTCTTGTAGTTGTGTCTGGTTGTAAATGTAATTGGACAAAGTCTTTTAGTGGTGGTGGAGCCAAACCATGAAGGACTTCATGTACAAGTACAGCGTCTGAATACATGATCATTTTTTGCCAACTCAAAAAGTCGTACTTATGTAAGTTTACAATGATGATAAGAACCTGATTTTTTGTCCAAAGTCTTCAGAGTCTGCTTATAGAGTCTTTGTTGTTGTGCTCGACTCGCCGGAGACCAACTCGTCACGCAGTAATTTATATGAGACACAATCATGGCGCTTAAATATAGTTTTGAAGCTTCTAATGTCAAATTATTCCTAATACGTTTAAAATTGCATAAATTAAATTTTATTTTGTTTCTTAATTTTTTAAATATGTTTCTTAAATGAAAGTTGGGAATCCATTATGTAAGTTTTTATACTTTTGTACTTGTGTTCAAATTTGTCCATCCACTGTAATAATTGGATTTGGTTCCTTAGTCTTGGGGCGGCTGTGGCTCAGTGGTTAGAGCAGTCGTCCTCCAATGCAAGAGTTGGGGGTTTGAATCCACCAGCAGTCACATGTTGAAGTGTCCCTGGGCAAGACACTGAACCCCTCGTTGCCTCTGATGTGTCCCATCAGTGAACGTGATAAAGCTCTGATTAGTCTCATTAGAATGATTTGTTCAATTATCTTTGTAGGGATCTAGTATAGAGCTGTCTGAATGGGTCAATGAGGCACAGATTGTTGTAAAGAGCTTTGAGTATCTTGAAATAAGATAGAAAGGTGTTATACAAGTACAGTCCATTTACCATTTTTTGCAGTTAGTAAAGAACATGCAAACTGTTTTACTAACATTCAGACGAATATTTGAATTTTTTAGCCACAGACAAACTGGTACCATTAGTGCCGACAGTTTTTCTGCAGTTGTTTCTTTATTTTTCACATGTAAATAGATTATTACATCATCTGCATATAAATGTCATGTAGATCAGAAGGGCATACAGCTGGTAAATCATTTATATATAAACTAAATAATAAAGGGCCCAGTATTGAACCTTGGGGTACACTTGTTTCATTTTGAACTACATCTGAATTTTTATTATCTATTCTAACACATTGTTTCCTGTTTTACTTTACATTTGGAGGCTAAATTAATGCCATCCAGAGGAAGTGAAAGGCTGTAAAAATGTATTACTAATATGCTCAGGTCCAGTAACTACAACTTTTATTTGAGTTTAAAAGAAAAAATTAAGGGTCATCCAGGTTTTTATGTATTTAAGAAATGATTGTAATCTAAGTAATTGATTGGATTCATCGGGTTTAATGGAGAAATAAAATTGAATATTATCAGCATGACAATGAGTATTTGTCTCATGCTGTTTAGTAACTTTACCCAAAGGCAGCATATATAAAGTACAGTATAAAGTTTTTTAAACCACAAGTTTATTTGCCAGACTGACAAAGCTCTGTCTTAAATGACTTTATTTCACTGGGATTCATTTTTGAAGGTTTCAAATCATGTCATGGATGCTTGAGTATGTCGTGCATTGTTCATATCTGGTTTTGTGTCCCGTCATGGGGGCGGTGGGCAGACTAAAAGAGTTTGAGAACCACTGATTTAACTGGTCCTGAGTTGCATGCAGTCAGAGGTGGAGGTGAGTGTTGCTTAGGGGGAGGGGGAGTTGGTTCTGGACAGGGCACAAGTGAGCTGCAGTCCTACAGACTCTGGGGAGGTTAGTCACGACCTACAACTGGATGAAACCAGAACCAGTCCATGGTGAGTCCGTGCATAAAACTCCTTCTATTAAAATAACTTGTAAGGACTTCAAACTTTGACCTGTTCTAACTTTGATAGATGCAGATCCTGCAATGAACCAGGTAAACAACATTAAACTGTAAGCTGCTGTTGGATTCTTAATAATTTGCAGATTTCTGTCTAAGTTTGACTTGGTAAACAATGCTCTGGTCGTTTACACATGTGAATATTAGCGTTAATGAAGGGAATAAAACTTTACCAGATGGACTGAGGTGAAATGATTCCTGTTGGAGAGGTTGTTTTTCAGAGGAAACTTTTCTTGGCACATCAGCTGAGGGAGACACTGTGCCTTTGTACGCAGCATCTCTGAGGCCTGACACGGGACATTCCTCCGTCTCTAGTTTCCAAGTTCCTTGGTCTTTTTTATTTCCCTGCTTCGTTTAGATAAATATTGAGCCAAGCAGCCAAAGTTTGGGATTTATTAAACATGTTTTGCATTGATGTAAACCTAAAACTCTGTATGTTACATTAATTTGATTAAATACAGTTTGAGGTTTATTTGTGGTTCGGTTTGAACAAAATATCAGATTTACCAGAAGTTTTGACTGTGGATCTCTTTCTGTTCATTCCTGAGGATTCAGACTGTGAATCCAACATGGAAATGTTGTTTCAAAGCATTCCAGTGGGGATTAAGGAAAACCAGTCTGACTGAAGGTCACAATTCTTAAAATGTACCACTTAAATACAGTGGGCCACTAAGCTGTTAAACTCTGGGTGTTACTGAGTTGTTGTTTTGTTGACTGATGCTTAAACCAGCAAAAACAATCCAGTTTCACAAAGTTAAATGGGAATAAATATTTTATTTGATACAAAATGTTATCTTTTGTATCCAATCTGTTAAACAGCATTCTTTTTTAATACAAGACATAAGCCCTTTACAAAATAAATGGAAACAAGTTACACGTTTGTTGGACAGGCAATGATTTAAAAGTTAAATAATAAAACAATCAGATTATAAAAAGTTTAGATAATATAACTATAATATAATAATACTTCAGAAACTTTTATTTTAAGACACTACACACTCACACAAACAGCATTTGATTTCCTTGAACTTTTCCATTTTTGCATGACGTCATTGAACCAAGCTGTAAAAAACGTTTTTCTGTTTCAGATGCATGTTCCTGACGTGGTGGGGGTTCTGCTGCTCAGCCTGTTGCTCCTCTGCACCTCTGCAGCACATGCAGCCAAGTGTCCACAGCACTGCGTTTGTGACCAGATCCAGCTCACTGTGGCCTGCCGCAACAAGAATCTGACCAGTGTTCCTTCCACCGTTGACGAGGTTTCTTCTTCACCCACATAAACCAGCTCTGCAGAACTCTTTCAAACAAATACAAGATTTAAAGGGATCTCCGACTATTCAGAATAATAGATATTATTTGATAAACAACTACCGTACTTCTGCTATAATGACAGGACTGTAAAAATACTATTGGCTGTTTAGTTTTAATAATTATTTTAAAATGAATGACATGCGTACATCGCCATTTTATTTAGGTTGGAATGCATTCTGGGTAAATGATGCAGACAGGTTGCTCTGGTGCAAGCTCCATTCAGTTTGAACGTTTATTTTGGACAATATCTGACATTCAACACTTTACTTGGAATTAGAACGCATTGACACAGAAAATAATGATAATAGTAATAACTTTAATCAGTAATAGCATAGTACCAAAGCTAATATGTACGAAGCGTTAGATCCAGAACTAACAGCATCTTCTCCAGCACTAATGGTGTTAGCTCCAAACTAATGTATACCAGTGACATGACGTGAGGCACTGACTCTGCTGGAATCGGATGCTCACATATATGAACCCAAAATAGAAGCTTATATTTCAATTTAGCCTTTTTTTTCCATCTTTTTTCTTTCTCTCTTTAATACTTTCTGTTTCGACTGGAAAATCTAGTTTAGAAAAATCTTTTAGTTTTGAGGTATGAGCTTCCATTTTATCTAAACAAATTTAAATGAGTGTACCGTTTGCGACCCCCCCCCCCCCCCTCTGCGTAACAGAAGATCGCACAGCAATCTCAGCACCTGCATCATTGTCCCTATGGAGCAGCACTGCCCCCTATTGGTGAGTCGTGGTATTTTCTGCATCACCCTGTGTATTTTCAGCGTGTATTTATAACCTATTAGAAGAAATATGTCACACACATTCATTTGATGCAGCCACTGGCCAAAAGGATGGACCAGCACAGAAGATCAACATCATCAGGCCAGGACTCTGAGGTCTACACTCATCTCCAGGCCAGCGGTCACTCTTTCAGGGATGAAGATGTTCACATCCTGGACAGAGAGGAACGATTGTTTGAGAGAGGAGTAAAGGAGGCCATCTTTGTGAAAAGAAATCGTCCATCATTAAACAGGGGTGGAGCCTCCAGGTTCAACTGTCCCCCTCTTACAATGCTGTGATTGCTAGTATCACTCAGCCCTCTGTGAACAGTAAACAGCCATCAGTGTGCTAATGACCCATTGTTAGGCTGATGGTCCTTCTTGAGCATGTGATCAGCTGGTTTTGGTTGTCAGCAGCAAACTGGTTGATCCACTCTGAGAAGGTGCTATTTATAAGACTGAGCTGAATACAGCACCTCAGACTGAGGAAGTCTTTCGGATGAAAGTGTAGTAGTCACGTAGGTACGTGCCACTAGTTGTAGTATGACAATATATGAGATATATATGCATACAATATATTCACGAGTTCCTCATCTTTCTGACTGTGTAATGTCGTGCATTGAATTTAACAGAAATGTAACGAGAGACGTTATTTATCTTTGACCCATCAAAATGAATGCGGTCATTTATTTTCAGAATCAAAGTTTAACATCAAACATTTACATTAATTTGGCAAAATATGAAAATAATGACAGACAAGTTTCACAGAAAAGGGACATCGATCACTCGGCGGTGAACGAGGACTTTGCTTCAGATATTTCTAAAATATCTGTACTGATTTTATGAGAAAGAGGAGAGTTTTAAGATGAAATGGAGTTATCTTACAGAGAGATATGTGAGGGAATTAATCTGTTTGTCCAGAACGTGCACGCTTCATCAGATCTCAGCTTGCCTCCGGTACACTTTAGTTGAAGAGGAGACCGTTACCTGGTTGATGATAGATCAGCTCGATAGAGAATCCTCCAGACTTTTTCAGCGTCTCCGTTGAGAGCAGCTGAAATCCTTAGATAGTCGTGTGTGGTTTGTTCAAACAGAAATTATAATCCCAAAACGTCTCTGGATCATCCTGAACGCGTTTGCACCCAAGAACTCTGAACTCCTTTCATTCTTCAGAACTTCTCAGACTCTAACAGAATCTTTCAACTCCAGCAACTCTCTAGTTCTTCATCTCCCCAGACTCTCGACTCTAGACTCTAGACTCTAGACTCTCTAGTCTCTGGAATTCTCTGGAATTCTTCGGAATTCTCCTAAATTCTACTATGAACTGGGAAGTTGCCACATTTTAAATGGGTCGACTTCCGGTTCATTTGAGAGCTTTTGATTGGTCGATGGACCCGGAATAGAGGTGTGGTGTATGATGTAAGATGTTATTAAAAATCAAGGATTGTTTAGTAACGAACAGAAAGATTATTGTAGGACTTCAGACTTCGTGGAGTCTCACACTTATAATCTTCTGAAAAAGTTTAAACATGACATCTTTCTCGGTAAACATTTTAGTTGACCGAAAAACGACCTTTAACATACTTACATTGCAGACAGAAAAATCAAGAAATGCATATTAACCTGATTTCTTCTTTGAATGAGGAATAAAAATCATTACTTACTGTTTATGTAAAATAAAAATGAGTAGTTCTTTTCAACCTGTAACATTGAGTGAACTAACACAATTTGATTATCAAACATTTGTAAACAGTGATGATCATAGAGAATTGTCTTTTCTGCTTGATTAATTCAAGAAAGAAAGTCATCAGATGGCTCAGACTGTATTCAGATCAATGAAATAACAGTCCCTGTCCATCTGATAGATTTGGGGTCATCAGGGTCAGATCAGGGTCAGATCAGGTTCACTACAAAAGACAAAACATTTCTACTTTTTTTGTTTGTTTGTTTTGTTTTTTGAATGTTCAGAGGACCAGACTTAACTTTTTTAGACTTTTCTACCTGGATTATTGAGCATGCATCAGGATATTTCATGTAATTTTCTACACAGAAAATATTTTCTATTAACTCAACATAGCTGATATCTTTCTTCGCTCAGCCATCCTTACAACCAGTTCTCTAAAGTAAGTACAGCCAAGACAAATGAGTTGCTTGGTTTTGTCCTCTTGGCCCTTGAAGCTAGATCACAAGTGTAGAAGATGATGCTGTTGCAGGCGGTTCTGGTGGTGTCTGTGAGGGTATGGCTGGAGAGTACGATGGTGACTGAAGACCGAGGTTTGGACCTTGATCTGGAAAACAATTCATGTCCTTGAAAACAAAATGAAAGAAAGAAGAATATAAAAATACATTTTTCAAAAAAATAAACTCTTCAGTAAATACAGTTACTTTGTAACAATAAGAGAAGCATTGTTTTGCTTTTTCAGCAAAGTTCAGAAAAATCATCAAGCACTCAGCATTCACAATTTCTCCAGTTAATCTTATAACAGTTTGTCCTGTTTGTAGTGAAAAGAAATCGTCCATCATTAAACAGGGGTGGAGGCCTCCGGGTCCCAGAAGGTGTTTGATGAGTTATATCGGAATCTGGACACTAAAGAGGGCGAGAAGGACTTGTGCCGATTGGTGAGACCGAGGAATCAGGCTGGAAAAGACGTGCAGCAGGTTAGGCTTATTAAAGATAGGAAAAGTAATGTTCTAACAATTGAGGAGAGCATGATGGAAAGATGAAAGAAATATTTTGAGGAGCTAATGAATGACAAGAATGAAAGAGAAAGAAGAGCAGAGGTCATAGAAACTGTGGACCAGGAAGTGGGAAAGATTAGTGAGGGTGAAGTTCGGAAAGCTCTGAAAAGAATGAAGAAGGGGAAGGCAGTAGGACCTGAAGACCAGTGGAGGTTTGGAAATGTCTTGGAGAGATGTCATTGAGGTTTCTGACATAAATATTAAGTGGCATATTTAAGGGTGAGTAAATGCCTGAAGAATGGTGGAGAAGTGTGCTGGAGCCCATTTTTAACAACAAGGGTGATGGACAGAGTTGTAACAACTACAGGGGAATTAAGTTCATGAGCCACACAATGAAGATCTGGGAGAGAGTTGTGAAAGCAAGACTTAGACGAGAGGTGACTATTTATGAGCAGCAGTATGGTTTCATGCAAAGAAAGAGCACCTCAGATCCATCTTTGATTTGAGGATGCTGATGGAGAAGTACAGAGAGGGTCAGAAAGAACTCCATTGTGCCTTTGTGGATTTAGAAAAAGCATCTGACAGGGTGCCAAGAGAGGAGGTGTGGTGTATGAGGAAATCTGGAGTTGCAGAGAAGTAAGTTCGACTGGTACAGGACATGTATGAGGACAGCAGGACAGTGGTGAGATACCATACCATACCATTTTATTTATAGAGCACTTAAAACAGCGACAAGGCCAACCAAATTGCTGTACAGACAGAACAACAGGTAACACACAAAGCAAAATACAAAATGAGGTAAATCAGAATACAGACATAAAAACGATGCAGGTAATGACGACAAACCATTGTGGAGCGTACAGATGGAGATGTGCTGTAGGAGTGACAGATAGCTTCAAGGTGGAGGTGGGAGTGCATCAAGGATCGGCTCTGAGCCGCTTCTTGTTTGCTCTGGTGATGGACCGACTAACAGATGAGGTCAGGCAGGAATTCTCGTGGACTATGATGTTTGCAGATGACGTGATCTGTGGTGAGAACAGGGAACAGGTGGAAGAGAACTTGGAGAGGTGCCAGTATGCACTTGAAAGAAGAGGAATGAAAGTCAGCTGTAGTAAGACAGAGTCCATGTGCGTGAATGAGAGGGAGGAGGTGGAACAGTGAGGCTACAAGGAGCAGAGGTCACAAAGGTGCAGGACTTCAAGGACTTGGGGTCCACTGTCCAGGAACATGGGGAGTGTTGTAAAGAGGAGAAAAAGAGAGTCCAGGCAGGATGGAGTGGATGGAGAAAAGTTTCAGGAGTGATTTGCGACAGAAGGGTGCTAACAAAGTTCAAAGGAAAAGTTTACAAGACAGTGGTGAGACCAGCTATGTTGTATGGTCTGGAGACAGAGACATGGACAAAAAGACAGGAGAAAGAACTGGATGTAGTAGAAATGAATTCCACTTTTTTATTTATATAGTGCCAAATTACAACAGACGTAGTCTTGGGACACTACAAGAACATTCAGATACACAGAAAAGCCAGTTACTGGTAATAAAGTTTTCTATCTAAGGAAGCTGTATCTAAATGAAGATGTTGATGTTCTCTTTAGGAGTGACAAGAATGGATAAGATTAGGAATGAGATCATCAGAGGTACAGCACAGGTTGAACAACTGGGAGGTAAATTTAGAGAAGCCAGACTGAGATGGTTTGGACATGTCCAGAGGAGGGACAGTGGGTATATTGGTAGAAGGATGTTAGAAATGCAGCTGCCAGGAAAAATACAAATAAGAAGGCCAAAGACTAGAAATGGTAAATGGACTGTACTTATATAACATCTTTCTATCTAATCAAGATACAGTAGTCCCTTGCTACTTCACAGTTCGTTTATCGCGGACTCGCTCAGTCGCGGTTTTGCAAAATAAGATTGGGCATGACACACAATTGGCTGATTGATGGATGAGCTGCACGATTGGCAGGGAATTTTTATTTAAAATAAATTATTTAAAATTATTTAGCACGTGCTGCACCTCTGTGCAGCCCACAATGCAGGATAAATGTCCTGCAGCAGCTGATCAGCTGTTCTCCATGCATGATCAGCTGTCAACCATGCCGCAGAGAAGTGGGCGTGGCCAAGAGCGCTTGCAAGTGGCAAAGAGCAGAGGAGGCAGGGAGCTGAGATCATGACATTCTGTCTCTTTTAGAGCGTTAAGAGTTTAGATACATTGTTTAGAATATTGCAAGAATGTGGGAAGGGTTTACACACCTTATAGTTCATACACACACACACACACACACACACACACACACACACACACACACACATACATACATACATACATACATATATATATATATGTATATGTATATATATGTATATGTATATATGTATATACCATACCATACCATACCAATTTATTTATATAGCACTTAAAACAGCAACAAGGCCAACCAAAGTGCTGTACAAAAGAACCAAACATGCAGAGCAGACAGGAAAACATAAAATAGAAATACAGATACAAATAGCAGCAGAAGCTAACTAAAATGGCCAACAGAGTAGAGAACAGACCGGGCCAGAACAAATCACACCGTGTTAAAGGCAAGCGAATAGAAGTGGGTCTTCAAGCGAGACTTAAAGACTGAGAGTGTGGGAGCCTGCCGGACACTCAGTGGCAACTCATTCCACAGTCGTGGACCTGCAACAGAGAAAGCCCTGTCACCCCTGAGCTTACGACGGGTTTCTGGGACTGAGAGAAGCATCTGGTCTGCTGACCTCAGAGAGCGCGGTGGGACATATGGCTGCAGAAGATCAGTGAGATAGGATGGGGCGGAACTGTTCAGTGATTTAAAAACATACATGAGAATTTTGAAATGGATCCGAAGGTGAATGGGTAGCCAGTGCAGGGAGGCCAAAACTGGCGTGATGTGCTCTCTATAGCCTGTACCAGTTAAAAATCGGGCTGCAGCATTTTGGACCAGTTGTAGACGAGCAATGGAGGACTGACTGATTCCAAACAGAAGTGAATTGCAGTAATCAAGCCTAGATGTTATGAAGGCGTGGATCACTGCCTCGAGGTTCTTTTTGGAGAGTATAGGCTTCAACTTAGACAGCCGTCTCAGCTGAAAAAAACAGGATTTGACCATCATGTTTACGTGACTGTTGAGTTTTAAGGACGGGTCCATTATCACCCCCAGATTAGTCACCTTTTGTTTCTCTAGCGGGGCTAGAGAGAAAAGGTCAATGTCATGGTTCATGAGTGAGCCACTGGGATGGAACAGCATGACTTCAGACTTCTTCTCATTGAAGCTTAAGAAGTTTAAAGCCGTCCAGTCCCGGATGTCAGCCAGGCAGTCAATAAGAGGCTGAATAGAGCGTGTGCCTCTGTGCCTCAGGGGGAAGTAAATTTGGCAATCATCGGCATAGAAATGAAAGGGTATGTCGTGTTTGCGGAAGATAGCACCTAGTGGCAGCAGGTATAAAGAAAAGAGAAGGGGACCGAGGATGGACCCCTGCGGTACCCCCCACTGGAGTGCGGTCGATGCCGAACTAAGATCTTTGATATTGACACAGAAGGTTCTGTCAGAGAGGTAGGACCCAAACCATTTAAGGGCTGACCCTGTGATGCCCACCCACTGCTCCAGTCTAGAAATGAGGATCTTGTGGTCGATGGTGTCAAAAGCAGATGTAAGGTCCAATAGGACAAGCAACACAGAATCACCTGCGTCTGTGGATATGAAAATGTCATTAAAAACCTTCAGTAGAGCAGTTTCAGTGCTATGGAGAGATTTGAAGCCAGATTGGAATAACTCAAGGATAGCGTGATCCCCCAAAAACTGTTTCAACTGAGACTCCACAATTTTTTCCAGTAGTTTAGAGGTGAATGGGAGTCTGGAGACAGGCCGGAAGTTGGACATGACTGAGGGGTCAAGGTTAGGTTTTTTCAGGAGGGGCTGGACAGCAGCATGTTTAAAAGTCTTTGGCACCACACCTGAGGATAAACTGCTATTCAGAATAGCGAGGATAAAAGGACCCAGGGTAGGAAAAACTTCCTTTAGTAGTCGAGGGGGGACCACATCAAAGGGGGAACCAGATGGTTTCATGCTGCACATTACCTGCTCCAGAGAGGACAGAGAGATGGGCTCAAAGTGGTCAAACACAGCCACACACTGAGATGGGATGGACAGATCATGAGCTGGTGGAGAAATGAGTGCCCGGGTGTTTGCCACTTTTTCTAAAAAGAAATGGAGGAAGTT